GTATTTAGCCGCTCTATTCTGCTTTTCTGTGTTTTTATTCTGCTTTTCTCCCTTCTTTTCTTGTTTTTTTCAATCAATTTTTTTTAAATTATTAGTATTGAATTTAAAAATATCTCATCACAAATCATGAGTTGAAAGTAACGACTCATCTTATACGAGTATGATCGAGGACTTACCAAAGTAGTTTCTAGAATAGTTGGCTCTGTCTAACTTTTCATGAAGAACAATTCAAAGATAGTTGAACTGAACATCCGTCGCTTAATAGAAATAATCCAAATTATGGAAGGGAACATTGCTTTGGGAAGGTAATATTTTTTCATAAATTTGTAATGAATGGTTCATATTATTTTCCTGAAGATTTAATCGTTTCCTAAATATAGGGTCTCTCATCAAGCACTTCCTATTGCAACAAATCTGAAGCCGCCCCTGACCGATATGTCGGCCAGCGAACAAACATATGACATCACCACAAAAGGAATACAGTTGGAAACCGCCGGTCAAACTCTAGTTGAGTACCGAAACGACTATAGAATTCTAGAACGATCGTTACCGATATATAAGGCCGGCTTCTCGTCCCAAGAGGGCAGTAGAGTTCAGAAAGTGAATCTAGCGGTTAAACAAGGAATTCAAATAGTAGAAATAAATTAAGCGTTAGTTGCTGAATGTTATAAATGAATTAGTTCGTGTTTAGTGAAATATTGTTGGAAATAAATTTAGTCAACACAGTTAATTCTTTAAATTGTCAAACTGTTTTTAAATTCAATTAAAATAAAACAAAGTGTGTGTGAGACTTCATCGAGATTTTTCATGCACTTGAAAGAACTATTGATGCCATCATGTGTGGAGTATAACATCTTTCAACCAACCGCCACAGCTTCTATGGGTGGAGCGCATCCGAAAAGTCCAATTTTCCATGACTCTGTCTCATAAATCAAGCTAAATTTGACCGACGGCATGGGTTATGTTGGCTTTGAGAACCGCTGTGGTTTGTGGTTTATTCGCATACACACCAGCGATTCAAGAAAACCCCACAAGAAAAAGTCTAACGGGGTCAAATTGCACGATGTCGACATGACCATGACTTAAATCGCTCTTGCAGAATATCCCATGTGGCATGAGCTGTGTGGCAAGTAGCACCGTTCTGTTGAAACCACATGTCGTTGGTTTCCAGATCATCCAATTCAGGCTAACAAAGTTGGTAATCAACAACCTCTTTGACCAATAGTGCTCGCCGGTTGACAGTGATGGCCTGGCCAAAGTCGTTCTCAAAAGAAATATGGACCGATGCCGCCGCCAGCCCAAAATTCACACCAAACAGTGACGTTCTCATGATGCATTGGACGCTCTTCGATCTCATGTGGATTAATATCGTCTTAAATTCGACAACTTTGTTTGTTAACGTACTCATTCATATAGAAATTGGCCCCATCGCTAAAGATGATTTTTATGAAAATCATAGTCAGTTGTCAACTGCTCCAGAGCCAATTCTGCGAACACATGTATTTCATGTCAACCACCTTCAAACAACCGTTGTCTATGGTCGTTCACCTTCAATTCCTAGTCAGTTGAATTTTGTATGGGTGCAGGCCCAAGTCATGACGCAAAATTAGCCAAGTTGTGGTCTGCGACAAGCCGAGTTCTTGTGAGCGATGCGAAATCGACTGTCTCGGATTCTTCTGCACACTCTCACAGACAGCGGCGATGTCCATGACAACATGATGGCTGCTATCAATTATCAAAGTTCGGAAGTCCCGGATGGAAGATACGTTATTTGGTATGTTGGATTACACATTACAGTGTTCTAAAATAGTCACTATCATCATGAATATGGCAGATGAGATATTTTTTGAACCTCACATATTGTTTATTTTTGCTGTTTATAAAACAGCAAAAATATTTTTTCAATGTAACTCTTGGAGCCTAATTTCGTCCCAGGGTAACAGCCAAATCAACAAATATTTTCTAAGTGGATTGTGTGTTGTTGACATTTTCTGGTTATGCGACAGGGGGTTCTCAACTGAGTTTGAATAATATTTGATTACATTTTCTTAAAAGCTGGGTATAAGTAGGTTCAATGTGGACGTTTGGCTTGGAAAGTAGCTCTCCTGTGACCGCTCATCGACCCCCATAACTGCACCCACCAGCCAGAAGAAGCTCTCCTGATGCTCTAAGATAAACTGTATCCATTCAGGCCGAAATGAGCAGGTTTGTAATCGTACCTGTTAAAATATTCTAGGATATTCTTTGCGGCAGCCATAATGGCATACTAAAGAGATTCCACCTGATTGATCTGTATTGGTGTCGTATGCAAGATTCCCACATTCATGACCGCAGGAATCTTACCATTTGAGGACATCTGTAAATCAAATTTACGATACATTAGATTCAGCCATGTAGTGCTTTTTCGTCTCTGATTTGGGTGAATTATCTCAAATTATTAGACAACTCATGTTATTTGTACATTATTATAGTCGATCAACATTATTATAGTCGACCAAAGATCTAATGGGACTGAAAATCCTTATATCATCTGCATGCAGGGAGGACGGCTCAATCTGCAGATGGTTCATTTGACTATACTCAGATTTTTCTTCATCAATTGTTCTTGGTTAAGAGTTCTTCTCTTACTTTTTCAACACTTGCGAAACCACCAGTACAATCTCTATCAATATGTATGACTACATTTCGGTGTTAATTACACTGACATAAAGGTTTGTACTCCACTATGTTCCATAAATTCTTTTGAAGCTCGAGGACACTTTTCCGATGATTGTCCTCGCAGTGACTTTTCTTTCCTATTGCCATAGTTTGCAGCATCACTCGATATTGTTTTTTCTTTTTTATTTTTGTCTCATTGACTTCAACAACTCGAAAAGTCTACCTTCAGAACCACTTACACTCCTCTAACAATTTTTTTTCAAAAATTGTCACATTCATTGATAAATGTTACCAAAAAGATAACTTATAACTGTACAGTTATAACTAATACACTTTATTGTATGATTTTTCATTATAAAGGGGTTTTACAAAAACCGTGATTTGAAACAAGACTAATGCATATCAAACTCAGTGTCACTGTTTTTATTCGGGTTTGAGGGCTGTCGATTTTTGGAATTTCTTCCTGACGTTTCGCTGACGTTTCTGGAGTTCATCTCCGATAACTGGGTATTCTGACTGCGTAAAGCATATTCATGTTTATTCAGGTATGCTAATTCCTGTACCTAGGTTAGCTAAATTGTCAATAACATTCGTTAACCCCTTGACCCGTGTGTTTGTGGATCTCTATTGCCTCCTGTACCAGTAGGCTATGGTATCCTTGGTTGGGGCAATGAGTTTCATGTTTTCAAACATAATCCCGTGGTTTCTATCATTCAGTGCATGTTGTGCCATAGCCGGCTTGTCCGTTTGGCCTAGTCTGCAGTTTCTTTCATACTCCTTAATTCTTATTCTCATGGATCTTTTGGTGGTTCAGATGTATACCTTCCCATAAGTGCACGGTATGCGATATACCCTTGCTGTTGATAGGGGGTCTATTTTGTCTTCAGCCGATCTGAGGCTTTGTTGTATTTTCTTGGTGGGTTTGAAGACCGTTTCCCCCACCGTTCGAAAACCGATTTAATGTTGTGTTTTCCCAGGAATTTTCCAATTCTGTCTGTTGTGACCCTGGGGATATATGGAAGATTAGCACATGCAACCATCCGAGCCTCTTCCCTATTTTGAACCGTGGAACTCTTCATGGTTTCATGGCCTTGTTGATCTCGAGTACTCTGCATCCATTCGATCTCAAGGTCACTTGAAGATGTTCCAGTTCTAGTTCCTCATCTATATGCTCTGGTTCACATGTTCTTCGAGCCAGTTCAGTTAGAGTAGGGATGACTCCTCTCTTTTGACTAGGATGGTAGTTTGATAGTACGTACAGGTACCTATCCGTGTGCTTTGTTACACTTTGTGGGTTAATCTAGCACCACATTTTTCGATGATTACATCTAGGAATGCTATTTGCTGGTTCTGGTCAGTTTCCATGGTGAACTTGATGCTGGCTAGCCATTCGCGCAGGTGAAACGTCAGGAAGAAATTCTAAAAATCGACGGCCGAATAAAAATAGTGGCAGTGAAAACCACGGCCATGAAAGACGTAACTATTTTGTCGCATATCAAACTGTTGTTAAAACATGGAGAATATGGAAGGTTTTGTCAGGATATGTCCGTCAGAAAGAATATGTAAAAAATTGGAATTAGGAAAAGAATTACAAAGAAGTACAATTACTTATCCTGAATTCCTATTATTCAATGATCATTATTTTTTCTAGATAAAACCCCCAATAAAAAATTGACTCAATGCCGTTCAGTTATTATTGAACTAATGAAAGTAACACGAAGTTCTAATTGTTGAGAAACTGCAGAATTGTTATAGTTGAACGATTTTTGCTTTCCCTTCATCTGTCTACTCGTACTTGATGAAACCTCACCGACTGCATTTCAGGTTAAGAAATGCAAGGACTTTGATAACGTAAATCAAACAATTAAATATTTACTTGTGATGCACTGTTTGAAACCTTTAGTGTAGTAATGCATATTACTGGAGTTTTTCCCAACACCAAACCGTTATTTTTATTATTAAACTAATGAAAGTAACACGAAGTTCTAATTGTTGAAAAACTGCAGAATTGTTATAGTTGAACGATTTTTGCTTTCCCTTCATTTGTCTACTCGTACTTGATGAAACCCCACCGACTGCATTTCAGGTTAAGAAATGCAAGGACTTTGATAACGTAAATCAAACAATTAAATATTTACTTGTGATGCACTGTTTGAAACCTTTAATGTAGTAATGCATATTACTGGAGTTTTTCCCAACACCAAACCGTTATTTTAACACTTCGACACGTGTTTCGATCATCAAGTGATCATCTTCAAGAGGAAGATTAATCTTTCTCTTGAAGATGATCAGTTGGTGATCGAAACACGTGTCGAGGTGTTGAATAATAATTAAATATGTACTTGTTAAAAGGATACATTCTAACATGTCAGCAATCGATTGAGGCGTCTCTTCCACCCTTCCGGTGAATCTCGCCACTTCTTTCCTAAGGTCATGGAATATGTTATAGTACGAGGGCAGATCTATTTCTTTTCGGCAGGCTTCCGGATGAAGACATTGTCGTAGGGGAAGTTGTCCATCTGTCAAAAGCCGAAAGCTGGAATTGTGGGGATCTGAAAGCAAAAACATATTGAGAACTTTTTTTATCAAACCATGGCAAGAAATCTTGAGAGGAAATAATTCACGAATTTTCAGAGAACATTTCAGAAAATCAAACTGTCAGCCCCAAGGCAGTGAAAAATGTGAGACAAAATAGTTTATCGGTGCATTCTCTTGAAGTCTGAGAACAGAAAAAAGTCGCTGGGATGCAGATCTGGAGAATACGGTGGATTCGGAAGCAATTCCAAGCCCAATTCAGGCGATTTTGCCATCCTTTTCATTGATCTGTGACATGGTGCATTGTCAGTTTTTCGCGATTTCGCGATTTCGTCCTTAAACGCTTCAATAATGCTATGTAATGGTCGCCAAAATAATGGTACCATAACCTTGCCAGTCGACTGTTGCGTCTTTGCACGCTTTGGAGTCAGTTCACCAGGTGCAGTCCACTCAGATGACGATCGTTTTGATTCTAGTGTGAAATGCTGGATAGAGCAATGTTTTATTCACTGTCACATATTGACGCATAAATTCGGGTTTTTGTGGCTATAAACACTGCTCAGAATCGTTCATTCGTTTGGCTTCAACAGTTTTTTTCCAAAAAGCAATTCTTCATCAACACACGAAATTCCTTTTTATCAATTTTCTTCAAACTAACGAAAGTTGCTTCACCTAAAATGTTTTATCCCCAAAGCATTTGATCGTATTAAAATACTCCCTACTTCTGGCAATAATGAAGTACCTTGGGTTTTGCCTCTAGCTTGGTCACTCTGCTTGGAAATTATCTACTCAATAACAGAAAATCGAATACCCTTAAAATTAATAATGGGGTCCCTCAAGGATTGATTTTAGGTCCACTTCTCAGTTCTCATACTGCCTTCAACACAGTTCCATGCATTGTTACGCCGACGATACACAGTTGTATTTACAATTCGATGAAAATTCACTCAATATTCCGCTCGAACAAATGAGTCATGACCTGCACTCTCTGATAACTGAATCAAGTAAATATTGTCTCTCTGTAAACCATCTAAATCTTGTCATGCTTCTCGGTATAGCATTACATCACCTAAACTCAATTTAGAAATATCAACAGGTATATCATATAAGCTTTATTGGACAATTCATATGAAGGCCCAAGCTATGATTCATTCAGAATAAAGCACAATTCAAGGAGTTTGAAAATTGATAAATTAGTCTGCTTGAACCTTCAAAACCCACCAGTACGTCATCAACGTATCTGAACCAAAACACAATATGTTTCTGAGAAAGGAGATTATTAAGGATGAGGATATTTTATCACTTGTTTCGCTTCGAGAAACAAAAACAGAAAATTACACAGAAAAGTGTAAATTTCAAGATAGATATGAATTTCGGTACAGACAAGATGAAATAAAGTAAAATGAATCAGAATATGAATAAATAGTACTCACTAATATCTAGCATATATGCACATCATATAATGCTTCCTCGAACGTTGGTTTATTATTGGTTTCAAAATCATTTAATGAATAGAAAGTAATATGTCTATATTGGAGACATAAATAGTTGAAGAAAATAATATGGGGGGTACCGCAAGCATCAACACGTGGACCTGTTTTGTTTCTCATATATTTCAATTCTTTGGCTACTGTAAATTTATTTGGTAAGTTACAAATGTTTGCTAATGACAACACTTCAATTTACGAAGGAAATAGTGTACAAGAAATCAAAATCATTATTTCAAAAGACCTTGATCAAATATCTGTATGGCTTCAATGCCATAAAATGACACTGAATTTTCAAAAATCTTCATATATGTTCATATCTTATTCAAGATGAAAATGTATCATGGAAGAAACACATTGAAACAATAAGAAAAAAAACAGCTTCCATAATTGGAATTTTATTCGAAATTAGAAATGTTGTAACCCTAAAATGCCATAAAATGACACTGAATTTTCAAAAATCTTCATATATGTTCATATCTTATTCAAGATGAAAATGTATCATGGAGAAAACACATTGAAACAATAAGAAAAAAATAGCTCCCATAATTGGAATTTTTTTCAAAATAAGAAATGTTGTACCCCTAAAATACCTTGAATTGATTTATTTTTCATTAGTATATTCCAAAATTCAATATCTTATATCAGTATGGGGAAAGGCCAAAAATTCCTTATTGAAACCAATAAAAAACTTCAGAACAATATTAGTAGTTGAACTACAAGGAGCCTACAGTCAACTTGTATAAACCAAAAAACTAATAGATTTGTCATCCTAGCACAAACTCAAGTTATGTATGTACCTTCATAACTACTACTTTTTCAATTTTGGTTTCTTTCAATGATAAATTTCTCCATTCGAATTTTGTTGTTAGATTTTGTTGGATAGGGCAGTTTTCCTTGAAAAAATAATGGATAATTTTCATTAACAGTTATTCAATGAACATGAATTTGGTTCAACGTCAATTGAACTCACTATTTATAAATATGAAATAACTTCACGCAATAATATTTTCCACGCCAATGTTTTAATGAATAATAATAGTTCATTAAACTTGCTGACACAGAAAAATTCGCAACAGGAAAATGGATAAATGCAATGTAAGATGCGACAAATTGGTGAAATTCGCTTTAGCGTGCATTGAGACATCGAATTACCTTCATTAGCTATTCGTCCGTTCAAATTATTGAAAGCAGGTTACGCTTTCATATAGTAGGCAAAGTAGGTAACCCTTGATCAAGATTAAACACGTTGCTATAATTTTTCAATGTTGAGATCATTATTTGCGATAATTTTGAATAACGGAAGAATCCCCATATCTTACTTATCGTTTTTTTTTCAGAACCAATCCAATAAATGAAATTTTGTTTAGTAACTTTCAGTTCTGACATTACATCCCATGGGTCTTTGGGAATTTATAAAGGTTGTTGCTTGAAGTGGAAAATGAATGCCTCAACTCGAAAATAAAGAAAATGCTTCCATAAAATCAGATTTCTGAGAAATATACGAGGACTGTTTAAAAAATCAGGTGATTGCTCATATTTTGCGGACTACGTACGTATTATGTTGGTATAGTGTATCCATTCCCAATTGGAACGGCAATAAAAATAAGAGTACAGTCATAAACATTTCTTGCCTGTGGCCCCTAGTCGCTCAGATAGTTAGTAAACGTGCTATCAAATGTAGTTGAGGAATAAAGGTTCGGCTAGCTGGACTGGCTGAATACTAATTTTTTTGTCCGTTTCACAATATTTCTTTATCGGTTTTGCAAATCGATTTTTGAAAACTTTTTCTAAAAATCAATCACCCTAACACCAAACTGATATTTTTGCACTCGACGCGCGTTTCGCTAACAAGGTTAGCATCTTCAGGAGAAGCAAGTTGATACTGAATCTAAAGACAAGGGTTAGCTGTTTATATACCTAAGATTTTTTGATCCGATGTAGACTTTATTTGTTAAATGATAATTATTCTAATTGATTTTTCGGTAATTAACTAGTGGAACCACTCCCTGCAAATTAATTTGTCAACAATAGATTAAAAAGCTGACAAATTAACGAGACAGTTCTTCGAGTCATTAAAATAGGGGATGTCATTGACCACGCAATGAAACGAAAACAAAGGAATAAAAAATTCGCAAACGTTGATGGTGCTACAAAAGATGTGATTCGGCGAACAATTTATGGTATATACCAAAAAAATGAAGTACCAACCTTGGAAATGATTTGGTATAATTACATTAGCCCTTATATAACACCACTATAGGTAATGATAGAGGTACTTAGCCTAATTGAGTACCTGAACTTTGTTTACTTGTGACAATGTGGATACGCTAATTTGAAAATCGTTGAGTAAACTAGATCGAGTTGATCATTTAACAGGTTGCACCCGCAATGTTTATGCTTATGAATTTCTAAGGACTCCAAATAATTGAGTTTGCAACCCTTCCTTGCATAGTGCAAAATGTCCGTATCGTTTAGATTGGGGGACTTGTGGTTGCATCCCAAGGAATGGTTTGAAAACGTCGAATCATTTTTACCTAGTCGGAAGGAGCTTTCATGTTCAGCATACCGTTTTGAAAAATTTCGACCACATTGTCCCACATAACCACTATTATACTCCAGACACTTAAGCTTATGAACTCCAGATTTCTCCAACTTGTCCAATTTATCTTTGGCATTGAAAAGGAAATCAGATAACCTGGCATGCGGTCTGAATGTCACTTCCACATTGTTTGTTCTGAAGAAACTCGCAATCATCTCTGTTCTTTTACCAAAATATGTCAAGAGTTACCCATTTCTTGATTTCTGATTGTTTGATCGGGAAGATATTGATCTGTAGGTGAATTTCCAGCTTTGTTTTCTGACTAACTTCTGGATTGTATATGCGTTAAAACCATTATTATGGCCTATCCGGATTTTCTTTGTTTGAAGTTTGAAAATGTCCTTATAAGACAAAACAGTAACGTTAGTTACAAATAAACGTGGTAAAAAACATAGAAAGTTTCAATTCTCTTTTCTTCATGAAGTTGAAAGGGTTTTGCTGCTGTCATAACTGGTGACGAATCATGGGTATATGGTTGACATCAAAACCAAAGTCAAATCTTCCCAATGGAAGAGCCCAAGAGAGCCAAGATAAAAAAACACGCCAAAGTCGATCAAATATCAAGGTTTTGCTCACTGTCTTCTTCGATGCATCAGGAGTTCTTGCCACATGGTCGTACGGTCACCTATCGTACCTATCTTGAAGTTATGCGCCGCTTGCAACAAGCAATACGAACAAAATATCCGGTATTGTGAAAAAATAATTCATGGATTTTGCATCACAATAATGCACCTACTCACTCGTCATTGCTTGTTCGTATTTTTTTATCCAAAAACAAAATCACACCTCAGCCACCTCATTCACCGGATTTGGCCCCCTGCTACTTTTTCTTGTTCTCAAGATTGAAGAGAGCTATGAAGGAACGGCATTTTGCGACGATTGAGATTGCAGAAAGTGCATATGAAAGTGTATTATATTTGAGTGAGAC